AGGATTCGCGGAACTGCGTTACTAATACTATGACAAATCGGTCAGTTTTGGGAGATTGAGAGAAAAGGCGTTTTTTGGGGTACCTGAACAGTAAACCTCCATGAAAAATTGTTTCCGAAGACCTCTTTTTTGTATTGATCTTTTGTACTAAAAAGTAAATTTTAACCTTCGATAGAAATTATTTGAAAAATTTTCGCTTTCTTTCCATTATAGCCTATTCCGCGCCAGCTTGTCACGTTTTTCTTTCCGCCAAAAAGACCGTATACCATATTAGATCAAATTTATGCTTTTATAACGGCAAGAAACAAAGGTCTTGAAGCGAAGATGGTTAAATTTGACCTGGGCTTTTGGCGGAAAGAAAAACGTGATAAGCTTGCCCGGAATGGCCTATAACATATATCCCTTCTTCACGAAACCTCATAAAAAGTAGTCCTCCAGATATTTGAGCGGCTGCCACTGGAGCGCAGCCTTGAGCTGGGCCCTGAGGTCCGAATCGAAAAGCGTCATCGATACGGCGGTCAGAAAGTAAGAAAGAGGAAAGATTCTTGAAAAAAAATTAATCAGAATCGTGGCGGCGGCGTCGGAGGACGAACTGGCCTCGCTGAGCATGCTCGACTCCCTGCCGGACTCGTCGATCTTGTCGCTCTCCTCCTTGACCTTCCTCTTCTCCATGCATCGCTTCATGCAGTCTCTCAAGAACAGGGACGTCAAGTTGTCGGTCGAGGTACAGGATTTTCAAGACAAAAAGTTTCCTTGAAAGATCTGAAAACATACATCGGTTGTATCCAAAAAAAAGCGCGAAAAAAAAAATTCAAAAGATTACAAAATTTTTCCGATACTGGTAGGGTCCGCAAGCCATTTCTTCAAAACGATCCAAAAAATATGTTTTTTACACTGTTCGATAGAGGAGACTGTCCATTTTTCATAATCCGTTCAGTTTTTAGAAAAAAAGCTCCACTAAGAAAAAAAGTTATGGCCAAAAAAACGAGCGCGCGCGGCGTTCAACTGGAGGCAAAAATCTCACGGTTTACCCGCTGCCGCACGCTTTCTTTTTTTAAATGTTTTTTTGCGCGTTTCTGGACCGTTTTTAAATCGGTTTTTCTGTTCTGAGAGGTTGTCCGAACTGAGCTTCATGTTTTTGGTATGAATCTTTTGTACAATCCTCATAAGAATTTTTTTGATAAAATATCAAAAAAACTACTTAGAAAAAAAGGTCAGAAGGAATTTTTCAGCTCATTTTTTTCTTTTTTTCTAATCAGAAAAAAATTATTATCATTTGGTTTGGAAAAAAAGAAAAAAATGAAAAAAATAATGTTATTTCGAAATAAAAACAGGAAAATGTGCAATTTGACTCCAAAAACGGCTCCTGCAACATTTAAAAGTGCTCATCGGTGTGTTTGACGCAAACACAGCTACGAACGCTTGCACGAATTCTTCCAAAATTTCGCAAAAAATTGCCATTTTTTCGAGGTTTTCAAAGCCGTTATTTTTTTCGCGTCGTTTGATTTTTTTCATAATTTTTCCATTGATAGAGTTTCGAACGCTTAATAACATAATCAAAAAAATATAGACGCGATCCTATTCTCTCATTCGTCAACGAGGCAGGCGAAAAAAGGAGGTTTTGGTAAAACTCAAATATAATTTGATTCGCTGTCCCAATAATTATTTTTCATTCTGAATTTTTTTATTTTTTTAAACACATTGTGAGTTTTTAAATCAAATAAAAAGTATACCATGTCGCTGAAATTTTTTTCGCATTTCAGCTTCAAAGTTTGGTGTCACTTTACAAGCTTCGATTTTTTCGCGTCGTTAGATTTTTTTAAATTTTTTTACTCAAAAAAATAAAGAAAGTGTTAATGTATAACATACTCAAAATTCGGAAGCGTTCCTCACTTGGTTTTCAGAAAAAAACACGACGATTTTTGTGAAACTTGTCAGTTTTTTCGTGTTAAATCTTACTTTTTCGCTTATTTTTGAAAAATGCATAGTTTAAAAAATATTCAGTCTTGTAGAGCGTTGTCGATTACATAGATTAACAGAAACAGTTCATTTTTAAAGTGGGACTTTAGCTAGTATAAACGCCTCAAAACCGTTTCTGCAACAAAAAAATCGTCATTTTGGTGGCGTGAAGGGGCGGGGCTTTGCGCCCCCTAGATACTGGGAAGATTTTTAGTGGCCAAGGACTACTTGGAGAGGACACTAAAGTGGCCACTATGAAGGCTCTCTATTTAGTGGCCACTTCAGTCGTTTTTCATCCAGTAACTCTGATAATTTTAAAACAAACAGATTGGACCAGTCATGTTGATCCATTGACCCCTAAAGTGGCCACTAAAAGTAGTAGCACTTAGACCTCCATAGTGGCCACTATTTTTTAACCCTTTAAGTGGCCACTAATGTGACTATCATAGTGACCACTAAAACGTCAAAACTTCATAGTGCGCGATAAAATTTTTCCCAGTAGACTCAAGAACTACAGAGTGGTCTCTAAAAGGGCCCTTGGAGGGTTCCCTCTAGGGATTACTTTACCAACCCCTAATGCTTGAAAAGTGGTCTCTATAGGGGACATGCTAAGAAAACTGTCGTTGATCAAGAACTTTCCGTAGATCCCAAATTGTTCAAAGAGACTTTTATTCTAAAGATTTTCATCTCAATCTCGAAATTCACCCTGTTTCCAGAACTTGATCCCCCTTCTGATGATCCAGGACGTGCCTCCGGAGTATCACTACAACCTGTTCGACTATCTCATCCTGATCCTCAAAAATGAACAGGTTTGCTCCCGAATTTTATTTCAGAAAAATGTTTTTTTTTTCAGAACCGAGTGTATTTCCCCAGGGAGCTTCTCTATGAACTGTCTGTATCGTTGAAAAGCTTCATCTTCGACAAGGAGACGCTCGTCGATGAGAACTATACGAAAAAGGTCTTTCAATAGGAAAAATTAATCAAGTTACTGTTATTATACGTAAAGTTAGCCTGAAGAAAGATTATAATAGTCTGAGGAAGATTTATAAGTTGAAAAAAAGGGTTTTAGCTTGAAAAAAAGAGAATCATAACCTGGAAAAATGCATGACTTTGAAAATTATAACCTGAAAAAAATAGGTCTACCCGGAAAAACCATATTTTTCAAGTGAAAAAAATAACGATTTTTTTGTTCCCTTTATCGATTAGTTTGTATTTTTTTAGCAACTTCAAAAATCACAATTTTTTTGTGATCACAAGTGGGTTGCGCGAAACTCAAAACAGACGTGAGAAAGTGAAGGATATCGCCAAATTTTGAGAGTTAATTTCGAATTTCGCGAAATTCTTGAGTTCTGGAAGCTATACAAAACTTTACTTTACCCGATTCTGAGCATTTTAAGCCGAGATATGAAGTTTTGAGTGACAAAATTGACCCAAAATGAGAAAAAAAGATAATTCGATAATTCGACGGGGGCTTGGTAATACCATACCTCCTATTGAGTTTTAAACTCATTTTTGATCCCTATTCTTTGAAATTTTTGTAAGTTCTCCTGGACTAATCAAGTTCTCCACTTGCTCAAGTACGTCACAGAGGCTTAAAGTGCCCACTAGCATGGGCAAAATCGGAAAGGGTGGAAAAAGGCTTCATCATAGAAACGATCCTTTTATGGTGACAAAGGTTCTTCTTTTTTGCAGCCTTTTTGCACAATTTGATCGGCTCTTGTTCACCATTTTCGCTGCCTCTCCCTTTTTCCACCATTTCTTGAGCCTTTGAATTCCCAGAAAAAATAGAAGGCTTGATAAAGGGACCTTTTTTGCTGCCTTTCCGCAATCTTTTTTGAGCCTCTCCCTTTTAGCGGCCATAATACACCTTTCCGACTTTGACTCTTGCCTAACTGATGCAAAATACTGATTGATATGATTTGAGGTGAAATCCCTCCAACGGCTGGTGATGCTGAAATTGGCCGAGTCGATCATCAGACCCGCCTGCTGATCTACTGAACTGATCACCACGTGTGCAACAACCTTTTGATCGTTCTTTGCCGTCTGATCACTCGATTCTCTCTTTTCTTATCCTTCTCTCTGTCTCCACCTTTTTCCCCTCTCTCTCACCCCCCATCATTGCTGATTTCCTTCTCCCTTCAAGCCACCTCTCTTCACGTTTCAAGTTTTACTGTTCCTGTTTTTTTCTTTTTTTTTTCCGATCTCATTAACTTCCCGTTGTTTTTTTTTCCATTCATAACTTATTTTTTTGTTGATTTCAAAGAGAGCAGTGTCTGAATAACGTGTGAATTGACGATAAATACTTCAATGTTTTTTTTTAAATGGTTTTTTTTTGGTTTCAACCAATTTTTGGAAATCAGTTTCAAATGAAATTTTTTTTATTGTGACAGAAGAGTTTGGAAAATGAATTTTCAGGTTTTCTCATTTCACTTGGACTTTTTGTTGTTATTTCTGAACTTTTTTTAAATCATGATTTTTTCGAAGCATTATTACGATAGTTTTAACAAAAGTCATATATCTATTTTTTGTTTCGAACCAATTTTTTTAGGAATTTTTAGAGTTTTTTTCGTCCCTTTTTTTGATTATACTGGGAAAATTTTTTAATCGCCACTATAGAGGTTCCATATTTAGTGGCCACTTCAGTAGTTTTCCATCCAGTATTCATTCCAGCAACTCTGATAATTTTAAAACAAACAGATTGGACCATTTATGTTGATCCATTGACCCCTAAAGTGGCCACTAAAATTTTTATCGGTCTAGTAGTAGCACTTCTATAAAGACCCTTATTTTTAACCCCTTAAATGTCCACTAATTTGACTATCATAGTGCCTACTAAAATGTCGAAACCCTATAGTGGACACTAAAATGCTTCTCAGTAGCTGAAAATATCGGAATATTTCAAATTTTAGAGCGAAAACTTCGAATTTTCTCAAGAGGTCATTTTAGGGTTTTCTCAAATTCTTCCTTATTGCTGAAAATATCTGAATATTCGTAATTCACGTGAATATGTAAATGTCATTTTATTTTTCAAGGACCCAAAAATGGCGCAGGGCGTCGCATCGAATCTCTTCCGCGCCGCTTTCCGCACCCAACTCCGAAATTCGCATTCTTACTGTATCAGGCGTGAGTTTTATACGGAATAAAACAAAAATTGACGTTTGGTAAATTTTTGAAAAACATTGGTTGATTCAGCGGGTTTCTTGTAATTAATATTTTTTGAAGTTTCGATAGTTTTTTTTTTAGTTCAAAAATATTTACTTCGTCATTGTTCATACAGTCCCCTCTCGGTGTTCAGAGTGATTCCACGAAATTATTTCTTTCTCTCCAAAAACTATATAAATTATTTTTGTGCAAATTTCAGGCTTTTTTTATTTGAACTGAAAAAAACTATCGAAATTTTCAAAAAAAACCGGAAACAAGTATTTTTTTGTGCAATATAGTGTTCTACAAGATTTGAAAATATTTTTTTCGGTGAAGGGAAATCTTGGAAAGTTTTTTTCTCGGAGTATCGGGCTTGAAAATGTTTTTTTATCATCGAGAAATATGTATTTTTTTCAATTGTTATGACTTGGGTTATTGCCCAAAAATTCTTTTCAAACTTCTAAAAATCAAAAAAAGCCCATATCGAAAATATTTGAACTTTTTCCAGCATGCCAAGTTTTAATGATAAATTCTATCAGATCACGAATTTATTAAAAAAATTTTTCCGAGACCAAAACTATCCTATGCATCAATGAATTGTCGACTGATAATTCAACGCTTCATTCTGAGAAAATTGATAGTTTTTCGAGTTCGAAGGGTTTTAATAGGTTATCAAAACGGTAAAGTTACTTCTAGGACCCTCAGACGGAGCTGAAAAGTTCCGCTAAAATTCCTAAAACGGTTAAAATAAGTCTCTTGAGCACCTTTTTCATAGCCTTTAAGGATCCTTTTTGAACCCTCTTAAGTATTTTTAGTCGCTTTTCAGGATCTCTTTAATAAATGAACTGAAAAAAATGCCAAAGTGAAAAAAGAATCGTTGGGGTCCTCAAAAGCTCCTTCTGAAAAAAAAAACTTTCGAGGATCTTTTCCGTTTTGCTCTTGTTATAAACAACTGAAACATCATTAAAATAGTGAAAATTGAAAACAAAAGAAAAAATTGAAATCGTGACCGAGATTCGCAAAGGCAAAAACGCGTCTGCGGAGTGTCGTTCCATGAAATTTCAAGTCGTGCCATGATTTTTTTTTTTCAATTTTTCAGCCTCCCTGGACTTGGATGCGGATATGGTTGAGGTGCAGAAAGTGGCACACGAATTCGCCAAAAAAGAAATGTACCCGCACATGGCCGAGTGGGACCAAAAGGTGGTTTTTCTGTTTCATGAGTGGAATAATGAAGGCGTCTTAAATATTTCCTCGTTTTTCTGCATTCGTGAGCTTTGTAGATAACTTTCTAGGACCCTCGAGTGGTCACTACAAAATATTCGGAAGGCCTCGTCCCTAAAGTAGACACTAAGAGCTTTTGAGTGTTATTTAACATCAGCCTCGCAAGCTCCTAAAATGACCACTAGAACATATTCTGTAATTTGAAGTTTTCTGCTACTTGGTTACTACTATTGAGCCCTGAAGTGGTCACTGGTGATCTCATCCTTCAAAGGGATCACTATAGTAGTTTCAGTGGGAGTGATCTCAGGAGCACTTTTCGAAGAAAGTTTTTTTCGGAAAAGGTTGCTTAAGAGACCACTTGAATATATTCCGTAGCTTGAATTTTTCTTGGATGAACTTCCGTTTTTCTTTCCCTTGATTGCGACTATTGGCGCCTAAGCTGAAAACCCTGAAGGGGTCACTGGTGATCTGATCTTTAAAGGGATCGCTATAGTAGTCTCAGAATTATGATATTATTTCCCAGCGGACATTGTTTTCACAATAGTTTCCAGCGTTTTTCTCAAAAAAGGCTCCTAGAGTGACCACTTGAATTGTTTCTATTATTACGACTTCTGAAGAGCTCACTAGAAGCTGAAAACCCTGAAGTGGTCACTGATGATTTTCTATTAAAAGGGATCACTATAGTAGTTTCAGTGGGAGTGATTTTAGAAGCACCTCTCGAAAGAAAGTATTTTTCAAATCTGGTCATTTTTTTTTTTCGGAAAAGGTCCCTAAAGGGACCACTAGGATATATTCCGTAGCTTAAATTTTTCTTGGTGGGACTGCCGGTTCTGTCACTTGGTTGCCACCATTTTCGCCTCTGGAAATGTTCAATAGGAGCTGAAAACCCTAAGAGTGGTCACTGATGATCTCTCTTTTCAAAGGGATCACTATAGTAGTTTCAGTGGTATTCGAAATGTCTCAGGAACACTTCCCGACGGACATGATGAGGAAGGCGGGAGAGCTCGGTTTCGGCGCCATCTACTGCAAGCCCGAGCACGGCGGGTCCGACCTGACCCGGCTTCACGCCTCGGTCATCTTCGAACAGCTGGCGGCTGGCTGCTGCTCCACCGCCGCTTATATGAGCATTCACAATATGTTAGTGAAAAAATGGGAAAATGGACTATCAAGATTTGTATTTTATTTTCCAATTTTTCGGCTTCAGGTGCGCCTGGATGCTCGACACTTATGCTTCAGAACAGCTAAAGGAGAAATTCTTGCCTCGGATCGCGACTTTTGAGGATTTGTGCTCGTACTGTTTGACGGAACCGGATGCTGGTGAGTTGGAGATAAACGTCGGCTGGACCTCAACCAGGCGATTTAAAAAAAAAAGGTGTGATCAAAATAATAAGCTCGGAAGTTTCCCAGGATCCGACGCGGCAAATCTCCGAACGACGGCCAGGAAAGAGAAGGACTACTACGTCGTCAACGGCTCCAAGGCGTTCATCAGCGGCGCCGGCGCCTCCAAGCAGTATTTACAGAGTTTTCACCGAATTCTGATGATCCTCTTTGAAGTTACGTCGTGATGGTCCGCAGAGACGACGGGCAGCCCGGCGCCAAGGGAATCTTCTGTCTGCTGATCCACGACGGCATGCAGGGCTTCAGCCAGGGCAAGAAGGAGCAGAAGCTCGGATGGAACACCCAGCCGACCAGGATCCTCACTTTCGAGGACTTGAAGGTCGTGACAATATTTCTGTAGAAATTTCTTGAGCCATCGAAAAGTGGGTCTCGACAAGATTGAAACAGGAGATAGTGCTTAGTTTTTGGAGAGCTCAGACAGGCCACACCCCCTTTGCATCTTAAGCTAGCCGTCAATCGGCTACAGGAACGCTTTCAGTTAGAATGATTCGATATTTTATCAGAAATTTCTTGAAAAAATTAGCGGTGTTACAATTTAGAAATTTTAAAGTGGTCCTTGTAGGGGTTAGGGTGAAAAAATGCCTTCTAGGAGCTGAAAAGTGGTCCCTATAGGGTTAAAATCAAGTTGGTCCCCATAGGGGTGGGGTAGTTCATTCACCATCGGCTTCACATGGGTCTCGAGACGATTAGGAAAATAGTGCGCGAAAATAAGAGGTTTAGACGTGCCTGTTTTGAAAAAATTGAATTTATATCATTCTTCCAACATTCTCGATCTTATTCTATCCAACTCGTCCAATTCAATCATAGACGTTAATGTCTCTGAACCTC